AAAAATTAGAAATGAAACAGCAAGATAAAGAGTAACGCACATAACAACGACGATGACAACAACAATAACAACAACAACAACAACAACAACAACAACGACGACGACGACGACAATAACAACAACAACAACAACAACAACAACAACAACAACAACAACAACAACAATGACGACGACGACGACGACGACGACGACAACAACAACAACAACAACAACAAAAGCAGCAGTAGCAGCAGCTATGTGACACAGAAACTGTATGCGATATATGCGACAGAGGTTTCGCATTATTGCTGCACTTTAACTATGATTTAAACGTATGATATGATAAAGGGGTTAGCAGAAAACCGGCGACCCATTTTGGTAAAAATACAGCGATTTCAGTATCTGTTTATGCATAGTACGAATCCATGCTGGCCTATTGTAGTCAATAACCGGTATAAAACAATTACGAATATATATAATAATCATATATAATATAATAGTAGAAAGAGCCGAAGTGTCGTTTTCCGTGTCTCCTCCGAAACCGTGCCACGTATTCTCACGCGAATCGAGCTGGGGCCCCTTCTGAACGTCCCGAATACTAAATAGCTTGCACATATCTAAATCATTTGGTATACCCTAACATCATAGTACGCCGCATTTCGTGCCTTTACCACAACCCAGCGATCCTTCGTAAATCTTAACAGCATGCCTTCTCGCGCTAGGGAGACTGATATCAACCCTGTACATAACGGTCACCAATGCAAACGACCAAGAATTACCCTTTATGGAGACAGGTGACGCACTTTATAGTGACAGGTAAACCGGTTGAAAAACTTTTATTCAGAAGAAGTTATCGCACACATGGCATTTAGTTTTCATTTATCTGCTCTTTTACCATTTTGGCCTTTCGGCGATAATTGCAATGATCGCGATTGATGATGACGCGTTGATTAGCTATAAATTGATGATTGCGATGAATGCGATTCTGTGGTTTTTTGATGCTTGTTTTGTGTTTTTGTTTTTTTTACGCGGCTCTGAACTAACCTGCCGTATCTGTGGATGTAAACGCGCGCGCGTGTGTGTGTGTGTGTGGTGTTGGTGTGTGTGTGTGCGTGTGTGGTGTTTTGTGTTGGTGTTGGTGTGTGGTGTGTGTGGTGTGTGTGTGTGTGTGTGTATGTATGTAGATTGTGTGTGTGTGTGGTGTTGTGGGTGTGTATTATTCGTGTTGTGATTGTGTGTTGGTTGCTTGTGTGTGTGTTGTGGTATGTGTCGTGTGTTTGTTTGTTGGTGTGTGTGTGTGTGTGTGTTGTTGTTATGTGTGTAGGTTTGTGTGTTTCCGGTGTGTTGTGCGACATACTGGGGCAACATGTCATGCGCCATCTAGCACCGTTTGAAGTGAGAGATAGTAGTAACACGGCATAATATGTACAAATTACAACACCAAACATTTGGCAAACATATAGGCACGATACAAAAATCAGTAACAATAAAAATAATGAGAAAAAAAAGAAATTGCGAAGAGCGGCCCCAGCGCCAAGTTCACGAGCCAAGATGGGCCGTCTTGGCTAGCAGGCTCGCTGTGTGGCAGCAGAGCAACCGAAGGCGTACGCAAAGAAAGCTATGCGCCGAAGAAAGCGTGGGAAATGTAGAAGATAAATAAGCATGATATGTCTTTTACGCTACGTCCTTTAATACCGATGCGATGATGGACAGCGGTGGCGCTGGATGCGGGTGGTTGCGGATAGCGTTTTCGCAAACGCAGCATAAACGGTGTGGAATAGCCGGATGCAAGGAATCGTTCAAAAGGTTAACGGCTAAGCTGACGGGAATTTGCAAGGCCGTTCGTTTGAGTCGTTAGCTGTTGCGTGCGGCGTGTTTGATGATGTCATGTTTAACCTCCTTCCACCTTCTCTCCCGCTCTACATCTTCCGCCATCTTTCCTTCTTCTAAATAACAGGGTGGTACTAATACTAGAGAATACACCCGCACCCACTTGCGTGTTTGTACGTTAGACCATATATAAATTATCCACACAGACAGGCATCGCACGGCACAATCACACGCGCACCCACGCACACGCATTACCAATTTACACCACACACGAGCGCGCAAACACATACACGCACACGCCACACACACGCAATACATACAACGCAGCACGCACACGCAGCCACACGCGCACGCACCTACACATACACCAACAGCATCACACTCGCAGCCGTACCTCTTGTGCGGGTCTGTCTTAAATTTTCGCTCTCACAGCTGGCGCAGGCAGTGATTGGCTGTTTATACACCGCACCAGCAATGTCTTGGTTTGTGGCGTGTGTGCCGTGCCGGTTGCGTGCGTGCGTGCGTTCCGAGCGTGCGTTTAGTGTGGCTTGGACTACTAGGTTTGAAGGCCCACTAATTAAATGCGCTATTATATATACCTTTAATCCACATTAGTATAGCTATATGTATATTAAAACGGCTTAGAAAACACAGTAATAGTTTAACACAATTTTAAAAGTATAAGTAAATA